TCCTCGAAACGTTTCGATCCCGCATTGACTGTCCTGTGTAATGCGCCCTGTCCTTTCCCAGGCTTACCCTACGTCTGCCCTGTGCCTCACCATCTGCCTTGCCCTGATACATGCAGCGCTCTGATCTCGCGGCGGCGGCCGTCTAGCTGGAGCCGCGGTCTCTGAGACCCGGGGCGAGGTGCTGAACTCGGGCCGCGCCAGGCCGATTTACAGTTATCCGACGGCGGCGCCCGAACTCGGCGCGATGACGGATGGATCAAATGTGTTTGTCTGCTCGGCATTACGGCTGTGAATGCTGCCGCCAGTCACAATTTAAATAAATGGTTTTCCGCATTCCTGATTATATGACACTCTGTGACCGTTCATGACCGTTCTATACACACGTTGCCTTTCTAGCTCATTGCATTGTACATAAAAGCCAAAAGATATGCACATTTGCGATTAGCTGGTAGCATGATCCTCCCGGCGCGGTGCAGTGGTCTTGAACGGAAAATCTTCAATCATCACCTGCCTTGACAGATAGGTCTTATCTACTCCAATGATGCGCGTCGGCGCAGCCCACTGACGGGATATGATGAAGCGCCGACAGATTAGGCAGAAAGATCAGCGCTCGATACATGTATTTATGATAAGTGCATGTAATGAAGGTTCGGCGATATAAGGAAGCACTTTAATGAATATATTTTTATAGAAGGAAATATTGGGTCGAAGTAGCCAGAGGTGCCGAAACCTGTATATTTCCAGTGTCTGTTTGTTGTTGAGGAGCAATAAACACGCTTATCACGGTTGGTCTGACCTATAACGCGGCCACTGCACTGCCCTGCGGCGGCTCCGCCTATGCCCCATGGGCATCATGCCCAATACCCATAGTGTGGGCATTTCCCATCGGGAGCTGATAAGAGAGCACCGAACCGGTGCAAACCTGTCCCACTTCTCCACGCTTCGTTCGGGAAACGATCCCTTCTTTCCCAGCTAGCCCGCAGGGTGAGCTGGATCAGATAGAAATTCAGAGCGTTCTAAAATGCACAGCTCGGCCATGGTGGCCACCATCGAAAACTTCGCGGTGATATAATCCTCCCCCGCGACAAAAGGAATGAACAAGTAGGCAGAATGAATCAAATAAGATTGATCGTCCCGCTTTGAATGGTCAAAATGACCTCCTTTAATTTCATCATTCAAATCACACCTGCGTTAAATTTTTGAATTTTTGTGGCATCAGCTCATCTAAAACTTTTAAAGTAGGTACGAAAAAATAGCAGTAAGCCCAATATCACTACTCTGAGCACCAAACACTTTCTTAAAAGCTTTCGTCTTTAGTTGTTAAATGTTCAGACAAATACTGCAATTGAAGGTAAGCAGTAAACACAAAATGCCGAAGTTAACGATGCAAATTGATGCAAGGTTGCATTTCCTTAAAATATTCAGCCCAAACTTTCCAAGAAGGCTTTGGTCTCCACAGAATCCATCGGCGGTCGGCCCATCAAATACCTACCCTGAATGTATCCATCAGCAGCCCATGTCTACAGCTGTGGCCTAAAACAGCCGCGGCGCGTCTCACGCCGTCGGTCCGTGACCAGGAGCGGGGGTCACCGTTGCGTTACGGCGTCACGCGAGTGGCGTCACGATGGCTGGAGACGTCTCACGCCGCCCCATTGTACCGCTCAGCCAGTCGCGACCGGCACACAGTCTCACGTGAAAGTTCCCAGGCCCGCCGTGCCCTGAGAGCGGTGCCCAGGTGCCCGTGGCCGCCCTGCGAACGTTGCAGGGGCGCCGGCCGCGCCGCCGCTGCCGGGCCGCCGGGCCGGCCGCTCTGTGCCGGTATATGGGACTGTAATTACGGCCGGCCGCTGGTTCACATCCTGTGCGGTGATGGTTGGTGGTGTGTGAATGTGCATGCAGTATAGTCAGGTGTCTTGCATACGCTGGCGAATTATACTGTGGTGTCGTAGCTTGTTATGAGCTCGGCTGCTTGAATATGCATTTTTGTAGATAAGTATCAGCTCGAAGTTCCGCAAGGTGCAAGGGATTAGGACCATCTGGGTTTCGGTATTTCTTTGCCGAATGGAAGCCGAATCTTCAGAAAATTATTGCTTTCTTTTCTATAACAGTCAATACAACATGATATGATGATTGAGTCACTAGCTTCAATAACACAAAGTGAAAGGAGTCTTAGCATAGCGTACTAACAATTTTACCAGCTGGGGGACCCGTGAATGCCGCAAATGAAAGATTGTGCTGCCATCCGCCGTCCAGAATCCAAATGAGTGAGTCCCACGATCTCACTGCGGCAGACCGCGCCCAACCCTTCACCTGAACGTCTAACGATCACCTGGGTATGTCAGCGTGCGAGCGCTCCTCGCACACCTCTCACATAACTCGGCCGCGCCGTCAGCGCCGCGCCGCGCCGCCACCGCCGCGGCCTCCCCTGTGAATGGCGCGGTCGTGACCTGTGCTACGGAACGGAGAGAGCCGGCCTCATCAGGCGCCCTTTGTGGCCCGGCACGAACCGCACTGAGAACGGCTATTACCTACCGGGCCGATCGGCTGGCCGATACCGAGCAGGACCAAGGACACACACTGCACAGATACCACAGCGAACGCTGCGTCGAGGCTCAGTATAGTGCACACGATTATCCACGCACGACGGTCGCGTTTTTTAGGCCGCGTTTCACCTCGCCCCGAGCCTGGAGCGCTGGCACCGATTCCGGTCCATTGAAACGTTGGCGGCCGGTCGACTTTTTCGGAATGTTTTTCAGCGCCCGATCGCCGATCGGCGAGCAGGTCGTTTCCGTTCCCAGCCGCGCGGGTGGCGCCGCCACAATGGTGGCTCTGTGACCCGGGCCGCCTGACCCGTGACCCGGGCCGCGCCGTGACGTGCGACGGGCCCGCACAATGCGGCTCGTGACGTCGTAATGGAGCGCCGTGACGCAGCCGGCTGGCGGTGGTGACAGCCGGGCGCGCTCTACAGGGCACTCCGGACCCGATAGCGGCCCGGCCCGGCGCACGGAGCCTCAGTCAGGTGCAGGGCCGTTTGCACGCTCGTGACTAACATTTCACTTTCAGGAGCGGTGATTTGGTCGGCGGCCATACTTTGCTGGAAAACGGCACGACCAGGCCGCGTCCGTGTTTCGAGGAACGGTTCAGAGGGATCGAGCGCCGCGGGAGGTCACAGATAGATAAACGAATCATGTAATGTATTGTCCGGATCATGTCACAGATACAGCTATCCTTTGTCGTAATTTATAGACATTGATGGTTTTTATCTACTAGGAAGCGATGGCCGGCGATCGCTGGTCAGCGAACGGTGACGATCGACCGCTGACCGGTCAGCGGCGCCGCTGACCGGTCAGCGGCGCCGCTGACCGGTCAGCGGCGCCGCTGACAGATGACTGGCTCTGGCGGCCGGCCAACACCCGAGGCGCGTCTAACGCGAATTAGGACACGACCATTTTCGGACGCCCACCCATTATATTTCTCGGACACGGTTCCGTGGCAAATCTCTCGCTCTTTGTCGATGCCACTGCAGTTCGGATGATCCATTAGACCTCCCACTGTTGCGTGATGCCATTACGTGATCGTTCACTCGTCAGCTGGGCGAGTTGAGAGGAGCGCCGGCCGCGTCGGTCAGAGGTCAGCGGCGAGGTCAGGCCGGTGACCCCCGTGTCCGCCTCGCCACCTGTCTGACACTGCTCTCCGGACGGCAGGTGGGGCGGCCCAGGGCGGCCGGCCGTGGGACGGACTGACCCCTCCGCCTCCCAGCTGCCGGCCGGCCGATCCCCTAAACACTGCTTGGCATGCTCGGCCAGCGCGCTGAGATATTAGCCCGCCGACATGATTATCGCCGAGATAGATGGGAGAATCGATAATTCCATTCTTACGCCTTAATAGCACCGCAGCGGCCGGCAGCCGCGCAGAATATTGCAGCGTCGTGCTTTGGCGCTAAGTGAAACGAGCAATCTTTTATATTTAGTTGATTGGCAATTACGCTGCATTTGTTACTTGGAATGTATTATGTAAATTCGACATTGCAGAGCAGCACGCTAAAGCACTGGATAAAAAATCAGCCTTCATAGAGATCCGTGTTGAAAAATTCTAATTTATGCAGGCATGCAGACTACCGATCAGTAAACAACTACGTCGGCTGCGCCCTCCATCCTTCACCCTTAGCCCGTAACGACAGCGCAGCAGCCACAAGCAGCGACACAGCATAGCGAAGCTGGTGATGTAAAGTGTGCACTGTGCTTGGTCGGGGAGACCTTACCAAGACCAACAAACTCGGCAGCTGTGCGTTCTCGTGACGTCCCGGGTCACAGGTGGTGATCGGGACCACGTGCCGGGACTCTCCATAATCGTGTTTGGAATAGTAATGGTTTCGGTAATGGTAATGGCTGTGCTAATGGTGGACGGCGATGCGGCGCGGCGCCATCGGTGGCGGGTCGGGACACACTGAAATGCGCGTCTCGAGTGGCGTGCCTGGGTTATCAGCCGCCCGCGGAGGGCCCACGTGGTGGTTAGGCGGGGCGGAGGGCAGCGGCGGCCGGCGCGCGCGGCAGGTGCGCACCGCTGCCGGCGCCGGCCCGCCTCCCTCCGAGCGGCCCGATCGCACCGCGGAATCTGGGACTGCCATTGTGTGCGCCCGACCTCCGGGCCGGGGCGGCGGAGCGCCGACCCCGGCCGGCCGGCCGGCCCAGATTCGGAGCCGACGGCCGCCCTCTGACAGCCCGCTGAGTGCTGACGCCTGGAGCTAGCGCACCTGGAAACTGGAGAGGCAGCCTCTATAATCCTACTGTCTGCCCCGGGCTGTTCGATTTCGAATCAAACTCTGGATTATGGCTGTGGGCCGGGCTATCTGGCTGTGCTATCTGTGTCCTGCGGCTGCCTCGCCGGTGGTCGGCTCCCCCAGACGGTCCCCGGACCCGGTCCTGGCACTCGGGCGACACCTGTCGCATCGGTAATGGACTCTGAGAAGGTCACTCGGAACCCGACATCAATCACCCATCTGTGACCGCGACCGCTCACGCTTTATTCGATACACATCTCTGACATATCACAGACAAAATCAGATCACAGGAAACTCAAACGATACCAACAAACAAACAAACATACAATATACATTAGTTGTACACCGCGCGCCGCATGCTCGACCTTGGCTAAGATGGATAATGCTAAATGTCGCGCACTTTCCCAACCACAGTGAGAGAGCTTCACCAATCGGATAGAATGTTCCAACCTCCCCTCCCACACCGGGCACTGGCTTCGAGCTGAGTGGAAGAAACCGTCACAGGTGTGGCCAGATCTGCATAACTGGCGCCTGTCTCTGCCCCCTCGGAAGCGTGCTCTGGTCTCGCCCTGTTGTGGGCTCTGGTCTGCCCTGTTATGGGCTCTGGTCTCGCCCCCATATGGACGGAATCCAGGTCGGTGTTGGTCCCACGCCTTGGCCCGAGGTCAGGTCGGCCCGGTGACCCAGGTCGGGTCACTGTCGGGTCGACAGCTGACGTTTTGTACTGGTGGTGTGTCTGGTAGTCTGGAAGTTCTACTCCGGAGACGGCTCGTCGCTGTCATCCGGAGACGTTGAGCTGGGCTCAGAGGACACCTGGGAAGAGACGATACCGAGGTCAGAGAGTGATATCGTGGGACAGTTAGTAGATATCTATCACAGCTGCTTCTATGGTTCACCTGTGCCGTTAAAGAGTAATAACTTTGAAACTCAAAACACAATCCGAAGTAAACCGTAAACCTCATTTTTATGATGAAAGAAAATGACAATGGGATGAAAAAAATGGGTATAAAAATGAATATAGGCCAAATAAACAAGTTGAATACGAGCTTCAGTTACAGATACAACCTTGCCGTAGTTACAAAGGAATGCGGTTTTCGCTGTCGCCACTCCCCGAGTCCGCCCACACATTCACATTCCATTCTCACCTGGAGGGTTTCCTCCGTCTCGCCGGCCGGCTCTCTCCTCGCCTCGGTCTCCGCCTCCATGGCTTCCTCCCTCTCCCCTCCCTCCTTCCTCCTCCCCTCCTCCGTCAGTCTCACGGGCAGTTTCTCCCCCTCCTTCCCCACGGCCACCATTTTGCCGAGGCGCGGGTGGCGCACCACCTGATGCTGCAGCTGGCAGATGTAGTTGATGACATGTTGGATGACCTGGACCTGCGGCAGCTGGCGGTCCTTGGGCGCGGCCGGTACGATATGTTGGAGACGGTTCAGCAGGGCACGCACGCGCTCCGTGTCTCCGGAGCGGGGCCGGCGCAGTCGGCGACTCTGCTGGAACACTGCGGGCGGCTGGCGGCCGGGCTTCATCTCCGTCTTCATCGAGGTGAGATCGACTGGCGGCACCGTGATCACTGGTTTTCCCAACTCTGTGAGCTGTCCTTCCACGTTGCGCTATGGCTCTCGACTGGCGCGGGGCGGCGGCGGCGGTCGGTTTTGGTGCGCGGCGCCCGCCGGCCAGGCTCCGCCCACCGGCGGCGCCGGCCGTGTCTGGCCGCCGGCGGCGCTCGGCGGCGGCCGGCACCGCTGCCGGGCGCCCGCCGGCCGGCGCCCCCGGCCCGGCACCGGCAGAGATTGCGTGCCACTCAGATCAGACGGGTTATCTGGCCGCCCGCGGGGCGGAGCATCGTCCCTGGCGCCCTGAGCGGGCCGGCGGCCAGGGAGGTGCGCCCGCGGCGGGTACAGGTGCACACCGCGGAGAGGGCGCCGCTCAGGCGATGAACCGGCCGCCCGGCAAACAGCGGGAAGGTCATGGGCTGGGAGATAAGGGGTGTTTACCGGTAAATGGATGGGACGGCGTCAGGTGCGCGCGGCCAGACCAATGTTATGCGCCGAGGCTAAGTGGTGAAGCCGATTTATTGGAGTCAGGCGAGAGTTCACGGCTGCGAGTTTAATAAATTGCACGGGGCGCTTATTCAACGGTAGGCTGTTGCTAAGCCGGCTGTTTGAATCCCCAATGGGAAATTATGGACCGAGTGAATAAAGACAGGAGGTAAAACATCATATCATAAACATCGTTCTATTTCAGGTTACCCGTAAGGTCTTTGATGTTTTCCTTCTACCAAGACTGCTGCTTGATTTGAAGGCACAGGCATGCACCAAAGCGATAAGCTAGCATGCTATTGCACATTTAGTTGCTCCTCATACCGCTTCAGCTGGATCTAAATGCGAATGAAAAGAAAATAATCACGTTCTTGCCTCTAAACCAGATTCTTCAAACTAACCACTTTGTGTAGGTAACAGCCTGAGTTGAATATGCTAAAGTCTTATCAGTAGCTCCGTCAGGAGCACGCCAATACAGGCGATGTTCAGAAGAACATTCAATAAAGTCATTTATGTCTGTATGACCAATTCTGCCCAGCCTTCTTCCAGGAAAACCCTTCTCTCTGTGGTCTATGCACAATAAATGCACATTTTCTCTCCCCGACGATCCAGTTACCGTCACGCGAGGCTGGCCGTTCGGCCGTGAGCTGTGCGGTACAGTATACCTTCAGGCGCAAACGGTCAGTGCCATCTATCAGCGGAATGCCGCCCCAAGCCATGGATGCATGGACGGAGCAATATCGAGAAAAGTGGCGCAGCTATCGGGCCCACGAAATCGACCAGCGTCCAGCAGATTTAGATTCTGAGTCGGATAACTCGGGGCTGATGAACCTGTACTGAGGCTAGTGGCGATTGTCTCAGTCAGCTACCGCTAGTCTCGAGTGAGATAAATCGATGATCGTGAGCTGATAAATTTCACAAACACGGCGCTATATTTAACATGCCTCTACTAACGAGTCTAGTGACAAGATGATGATAAGGGTGCTGTAAATTCCCAATATTATGCGAGGTGATCGACAATACGCCAGCTATCATAAGACTCATGATGCATGTCTCTTTCCCTCAAGCGATGATTGCAGCGAATGAGAAACTGCATATATCGCATTGTAATGCTACCTAATTGTTACAGTGGCTCTCCGTATCCCTTCCCACAAAAATTCTACAATGTTAACCATAAAAGAGCCTAGAGAGGAGCTTCTGTGTCTTAGACAGGAAGCTTAATTAAAACCAGTATAACGCCTTTTGGGGCGACTAACGGAGCAAGCGAGAGGGTGAGCCTTGCACGTGCGAAATTTCGAGGGGGTACCTCCAGCTGACTTGTGCACGGCACCCTACTAACCGGTCTCTAGCGATGTGCCAAATTTGAGCACAATCGGCCCAGCCGTTCTCGAGATCTGGAAGCGGCACCCTGCACGTGCGCACGTGCAAAATGGGTCCCAACTGACTTGTGCACGGCACCCTACTAACCGGTCCCTAACTATGTGCCAAATATGAGCGCCATCGGTCCGGCCGTTCTCGAGATCTGGAATCGACCCCTGCACGTGCGCACGTGCAGCAGCACCCCAACTCTGGCACATGGATATGCATTGCCTAGTGGGTGCCTATATACATGCCAACTTTCAGCGCAATCGGCCAAGTAGTTACCGAGATATTGCAACAATTACAAAAGTGACACCTCTTCGTTTTGCACGTGGCACGTGCATAAGGGGTCACCTACATGCATCAGGAATAGTCCAATACTTGGTAGAAGGAATGAAGCTACCCTACAAAAATTACCGCGTGTAAATCGGTCAAGTGGTTGCTGAGATATAAGCGTCGCAAAATCGTGACCACGGCCGGCCGGCCGGCCGCTCATACTCAGAAATTTCCGTTAATCTAAGGAAAGACTCCGCTCGCTTCGCTCGCTCCGTAATCATTTTGTCATGGACAAGTACTGATCTGCATCGAATATTCATGTTATTTCCCTGCGCATTTTATTAGACGCGTTGAAAGTTGTTATGGGCTAGAACAAGAGCAGCTTGTCAGTAGCTTGCCTTTTTGTAGTTATCCATCACACTCAGCGAAAAGAGACCTGCCTTATCTGTCCCCAGGCCAAAACCCATCTTTATCGACTGAAGCCACCCTCCCGGCGCGACCCATTCATCAGTGTTAGTCCGGCGAGCGGTGGTCTGGACGGCGGACACGGGAGCCGCCAGTTTTCCCCGGTCTTGTGCCCGGCAGCTGTTTCGGCATTATATAGATTATAGAGTATCCATGGTTTGTCTCGGTGGCCGCCGAGCTGACGGCCGCAGAAGCTCGCCTTACACTCGCGCTCGTCGTTATCTCGTCTGATGAAGTGTCGCCGCCGGCGTCTCCTTTTTGTCGTCGCTCACGGCAGGCTGTCAGCACCAATCATGATGGAGCAACGTCGTCTCGAACACGAAAACAAACATTAGGCAGTCAGCACCAGTTTGCCGCTGAAGGGGTACAAAAAGCAGCTCACTGTCTGCTGAGGCAGCTGCTGAGAACACGATACCCAGTGGTAGGTGACACTGCTACCGTCTACTCGCTACAGGCTACCGGGGCGCGGCTAGATCCAAGCAGCCACCAGTTCTTTGTGATTTGACGTCTTACAAAGCAACGCTTTCAACTTTTCGCCCATATAGTCATGGCATAAAACCTTCGTCAACTTTTAATTGCATATTGCATATAGGCATCAATAGTTATATGCCATAAACAACAAAAGCATGTATTTCTACTATCACTCTCTTGAATATCCTCGGTCCTCTCGGTAACGAGCGCCGCTGCCAGTCCCATTAGACCCCGGATCAGCTCGGTCCTATCCACCCGCTGTCTCCCCGATCGGACCCATCTGCCCGGTCAGTCGGCCCGGCGGCTCCATGCGCCGTCGATGCGCCGCGATGCGTGTCTCTGTGCGGTGTCGACCGGGGCGTGGGGCTGGCCTGCACCTGGTGCCGGTCTCGGCCCGACCGACGACCGGCGCACGGCAGCTGCCGACACCCCTGTAACAGCTGCCACCGCCGGCTGCCGTCACCGACGCAGCCGCGCGCCGGCTGCCGTTCGAACTTCGAACGGCGTCTGTCTGCCGTCCCTGGGAGAGCCAGACTGCCAGATAGTTTCGATCCGACGTGTACTTCCATGTAATAGCGAGGGGGCCTACTAGGTCACAAGATAGGTCACGTGGGAGGGGCTGTCCGCTCGGTGTGTGTGGTGGTCTGAGCGAGAGAGAAGGATGAGGGGAGTTTTTAATGGTTTGTCGGTTGGAAAAATCAGGTCTGACAGCTAAATATGAACCGGCATATAAACGCAGTTTGCGACTGCTTACCTATGTACTTCACACATCACAGCGGGCTGGACAAAAGAATGCTCGGGGAGATCCAACCTCTCGTGATAACCCGGTTGGTTGAACCGCTTCGGCGCGCACTAGTTGTTTCCACAACGGGGATGGTCTGCGGTCGTAAGTGGCAATGGTCGCGTTACTATCCATATAAAGTCGGTGAGCGTAGCGAATTGTGCTCGGCCCGTTAAATGATCAACTTTAAATTCTGTAGCAGCCCGGATTTTCCCGATAGGATGAGGGGCACATGAGGTCAGGTCCTTTCCAACGCAATTTGTTCCGCTTGGTGTAGGCTCTGGCCTGAGAAATCTGCCGGCTAAAAATACAGATGCAGAACTAAAAACCGGCATTCGAATATTTTTAAGAAAAATGTCGTTTTTCATTTGAATATTAATGCGAAAAATAACGCGGAAAATCGCACCTATGTAGGCCTACATACGTGTGCGCTGTTTACAAGTTATATATTACAAATGTTCAACACATGAATGATCATTCAAATCAATTTTAAAAGGTAAAACAAGCCGCTAGTGGGCTTAATGCGAACCCAATCTGTGCAGCGACAGGTCTGTAATCAATCCCAAATCCAATCCCGTCTCAAAGGAATGATTATGAACCTATCGACGCCAAATGCAAATGAAAATGCCATGATTCTTGTCTGTCTAATAAAACTGCAGAAAATTGGCATATCGGTGACCAACTGACCAGATGTGAAGATTCTTATTCCTCTGAACCTTTAAAATCATCTTGCTTTAAAGGTAGTGTGCCAGCTTTCTTGGACCATATGGAGTTAATGACCCGGATAAGGAGAACCGGATTTTTAGAACTTTACCATACCTTCAAAACTCATGGAAACGTCTTAAATTCTTCAAATTTTGAGTACCCAGTGCGAAATTCGCCCCGACGGGTTGTCGGTCGTACCCCAACCACATCTCACACCACTATGAACAATAAATGCACACACTAAAATCGCTATTACCGATTGGCTCATCCAATCAAGTTTCGATAAACCCGCTCATCATCATCTCCTGCGGTTTCGAACACGCCTGTTAGGTGGCTTCTGATGCTCGTCGAGGTCGGAATTTCCAAATACGCGTGGTGCGTCGGGCCGCGCGCTCTGACTTCGGCCAAGAAAAATGCGTCAGCTGATCGTTGTCATTTCTGCCACTTGCGTGTGGTGAAATGGGGTCATAACTTAAGAGACGGCTGTTTCATATCAATTATTTTACATAAAATCATATTTCAAACCATAAATTAATGTTCGACAGCCAAATTAAAGAAACAATACCAATACAGGCTTACAGTTTAAGTTCGACATTGTGTTGTCTACGATTAGACAGCTGATAACTCATTC